GAGGGGAAAATGTTTCCATAAAATCCATATTTAAGAGTGGCTAGAAAAGACATTTCAAAGCTTAATTTTAGCTGCCTTGAGCTTAGTGCTTTCTTTTCTTTGCCATTTTGTATCCAATGTTTTCTCCCAAGTGTAAATTTGCTAGTAATCAGAGGTTTCTAGTTGCAAAATGATGATGTTGAGCTCCCATAAAGCAGTGCATTGTTTATAGTGCAGTGCACAATTAAGTTCCTGTGGTTTGATTCGGTAACTTGCATTATCCTGCTAAATGACAAGTGATATTTTTTTCAACATATTTGTATAGTGGAAGTGGTGCATAGAGTTGTTTGTGTGACATGTGTATTTTGATTATGACAGGGCCAATACATCTAGTTCCAGTTCATTGTAATAATCCTCATGCTTTTAAATACACCTAGGGCTACTGTACTACAGAATCATCTAGAACACTATTTAAATGCTGACCACAGTTTACTGATCAGACACAAGATATGGAATTAAACACCACTCTTGCATATATAGTCTAGATGCAGGCAGGGTGACACCTTTGCTTGTATTGGAAAAGAAAGCAGAGAAGGAAAAAATGATCGGTATCTTGGTGTACTGCAGAGAAAACGAGGCAGAGCCTGAGGACTTTATAGGCTGCTTCATTTCAAACTTTCCCTATTCAACATTGCTCATCCCATCTACCCAACTTTTAGGCAGTGCAGGCAATTGATTCAATAGGATCCAGTTAGGAATTTTATCATCCATTTCCAGTTGGCTTTTTGTTTGTTTGTTTGTTTGTTTTTGCTTACCTAGAATCATAGAATCATAGAGTTGGAAGAGACCACAAGGGCCACCCAGTCCAACCCCCTGCCATGCAGGAACTCCCAATCAAAGCATCCCCGACAAATGGCCATCCAGCCTCTGCTTAAAGACCTCTAAGGAAGGAGACTCCACTACTCTCCAAGGGAGTGTGTTCCACTGTCAAACAGCCCTTACTGTCAGGAAGTTCCCCCTAATGTTGAGGTGGAATCTCTTTTCCTGAAGCTTACATCCATTGAAAAGAGATTCCACCTCAACATTAGGGTGGAACTCTTTCTGTATGGATTAAGGGACAACTGGAATTGAATGTGGCAGTAAGGTAGTCATTGGCAGATGGGGGAGTGATGGGGAGTGAACATGTAGTAATGGTGAGCCCCCTAGGTCCCTGTTTGGTGTAGGAGACATCTTCAGACTTGGAAGGGCATTACTAGGGGGTAGCAGACTGCACTTGGTGACACCCCGGTGTGTGTGTGTGCGCGTGCGTGCGTGTGTGTGTGAATACCTGATGGGGAGGTTGCTCACTGTCCCTTCCAACTACTCCAGTGTCCCCTGCCACCAACCAGGGAGTCTCTGCAAAAGGAGCAGATGGACCAGGGAGATGCATGAAAAAGGAGGAAGAGGAGAAGGGGAAGGGGCAGCAGAAGGAGAAGAGGCAGCAGGCAGGGAAGAGTTCTCCATGTGCAGCACCCACCTCCTGATTGCCTCACTACCCTCCTTGTCCCAGCCAAGCTGCCTGGCAGTGGCACACACCCAACCACCATCTCTGTCATCCCTGTCACTGTATCCCGGTAGGGGTAAGTGACTTTATTTTTGCATGTGATAAACTCCTTAATTGAGTAACAAGCTGACCCCTGTATTGTATCAGGATTGAATAATTTTATTTTTTGGAATTATAGCATGTAAGATACAATAAATCCTTATGTATCACTATAATTTGAGGGGAAAACATGAGAGGAAATAAGATACTTAGCTGAGATGAGCATGGGTATTGACTTTCAAAAAGACACACTGCCGCAAAATATTTCTATCTTTCTGATCTGTCCTGGTTGTAATTCTTGATTTATCATTTCTTCTTCCATTTCTATTCCTGGTGTATAATGTTGATTACAATCATCTGGATATGAAATGCACCCCAGTTATTATAAAAACAAAAAAACAAAAATGGGAGGGTAGCTATGCTAACCGTAAAACAAAATCCACATGGCAGGAAAAACTTTTATTAGGTCAACGAAAAGGTGCAAAATACACCATGCCAGCTTTTGAAGCACTCTGGTTTCTTCGTGGTAAAGATGGCAAAATATCATGCAGGAGAAGACTAATTATGGTGTCAGAGTCACAAATCTGCATCTTGCTTGGGTGCAAATTCCTTTCCTTAAGGTGGAAGACAGAGAGGATCTAAGCAGAAAGAAAGGTCTGGCCACATGGCAATGAGATGTCTTGGAATATAAGTAGTAAACAAAATGCAGTAAATATTGCATTCTCCTTTGGCATCAGCATAGTACCTCCCATTGGCAGGAAACAGGTGGTGGTGGTGGTGAGAAGTTGTCCAGTTAGAGACTGTGACTTAAAGCCAAATATGTGTTGTGGCATCTTGGTTTTGACCAGTTTCTCTCTGTGCTAACTATGGATCTGTACAATGTTCAGCATATTTGTTCAGAAGCTGGTCCCACTGAATACAGTTAGATTTACTCAGTCATCAATAACTTTAGGATTGCATTTAGATTTGTCAGACTGAAAACTGTAGAGGGCTCCTATAACTTTAATAGCTGTGTAGAAGGGGAATTTTAGCTGTTATAGCTTGTCAGACAACTAGGTAACAAGATACACTCACTCAAATTTCTTTTTCTACACAACCATTAAATGTACATGAGCCCTCTCCAGTTTTTAAGCTGCAACACTAATTTTAACAATCACATTTTCTTTGATATTTTCAGATTTGTTGCCTCTTTCTATACTTGAGAGCATTCTTCTTGGTTGGAATATACTTCAGTCCTGATGGAGCATTTAGGAAATCTCTTGTCATCTCAAAACAGAGATATGCTAGACTCCTTAGCTATTGTTCTTCTCTTCTCTTGGCAACATATTCTGAAATTTATTGTCCTGCATCCCACAATAATGTAAGTTATTTGGTAAAGACAGGGGTAGGCAACCTTTCCCCTTTAAGGGCCGAGGGACTTCAGCTCCCAGAAGCCTCAGCTATGTTGGCCAATAGTCACTTGTTGGCCAATAGCTCCTGGGATTGTGGGAGCTGAAGTCCCTCAGCCCTTAAAGGGGAAAGGTTGCCTACCCCTGGGTAAAGACATTAGATCATGGATTGCTTGAGGCATCTTTTCATACAATTCTGGATACAACAATACCATCTCCTACAGATTCATCCCTATCTAGTCCACTCATTTTTCTTTTTCTTTCTAATAGCTGATACATTGAATTATTTTAACCCTGCTCTTATATTTTCTTAGGCACCAAGCAGATGGCTTATTAAGCCGTCCTTGG